ACAGGATTGCAATGTATGAGATCAAAACAAAATCAAATGTATTTCTATGCATTAGCAAATGACAATCTGAAAATGACATTAAGAAAATAATTCCATTCCCAATAATGTCAAAAACAATAAAATAGCTAGGAATAAGTGTAACAGAAGACGTATTAGATCTGTGCATTGAAAACTACAAACCACTGCTGAAAGGAATTAAAGGAGATTAAATAAATGAAGAGATATACCATATTTATGAATCAAGAGATTCAGTGTTAGCTTGGAAATTCTTCACAAATTGTTCTACATATTTGGAGCAACACCATAATCTCCACAGTCCTTTTATTTAAGATAAGTAAAATAAAAAGGATGATCCCAAAATTTATATGAAAGTGGAAAGAATCTAGAATAGCCAAGATAATTGTGAAAAAGGAGACAAAAGTTAGAGGATTCACACTACCTGATTTCAAGACTTGATATAAAGCTAAAGTAATCTAAAAAGTATGGCATTATCATAAGGATAAACATATAGATCACTGGAACAGAAGAGAGTCTAGAAATAAACACTCACATTCATGCTAGTTAAAAAAATATTGAAGTGCCACAAAGCAATCCAAGAGGAAAGGATAGTTTTTTTTTCAATAAATGGTTCTAGAACAATTAAATTCCATATACAACAAAATACATTAGACCCTTACCTCACACTATCCACAGACCTTAAAATATAGATGTAAACACAGGAGCTAAAATTATACAACTTCTAAAAGAAAGCAAGAAAAAGTTTGTGACCTCGGGTCAGGCAGAGATTTCATAGATAAAACACCAAAATAATAATCCACATAAGAAAACACTGATAAAATGGACTTCATCAAAATTAAAATCTTCCGTGCTTCAAAAGGAACCATTAAGAAAATGAAAAGACAAGCCACAGACGGGAGAAAATATTTGCAAACCATATATCTTATGAAAGACATGTAATCAGAATACATAAAGAATTTATACAATGTAATAAGAAGATAAATAGCCCAATAAATATTCAGATGGGCAAAATATTGAGTAGTCATGCCATCAAAGAAGATATATGAATGCTAATAAACACATCAGAATGTTGTAAACACATAAAAAAATTGAGAAATGTAAATTGAAATTACAAAAAAGGTATCATTATACAGACACTAGAATGACTGTAATCAAAAAGACTGACTATGCCAACTAAGGGCAACAATGGGCAGAAACTGGAAACCTCATACATTACTAGTGGGGAATGCAAAATGGTATAGTCATTTTGGAAAACATTCTGGCAATTTCTTAACAATTTATATATATATTTGTCATATAACCCAGCAGTATCACTCCTAGGTATCTCATCAAGAAAAATGAAAACATACGCACATACAAACATTTACATCCGAGTGTTCACAGCAACATTATTTATGAATGTCAAAACCTGAAAACAACGCTAATGTCCATCCATTTGTGAATGGATTTTAAAAAGTGGTAGATCCATACAATGGAATACTAACTACTCAGTGATAAAAAGAAATAAACTACTCACACATGCACCAGCATGGGTGAATCACAGGAGCATTCTGTTATGTAAAAGACTATATATTGTATGATTCCATTGATTGATTGATCGATTGATTGACTGACTTAGTTAAAGATTTATTTATTTCAGAGAGAGAGAGCACAAGCGGGAGGGGCAGAGGGAGAGAAAGAATCTCAAGCAGACTCCGAGTTGAGCACGGAGCCCAATGCAGAGTTGATCTCACGACCATGATGAGGTCACCACCTGAGCAGAAGCCAATAGTCCAGCGCTTAACCTACTGTGCCGCCCAGGTGTTCCTGTATGATTCCATTTATAAAAAATTTCCAGAAAGGCAAAACTATCCAGAAAGCATATTAGTGATTTTCTGGGGCCGAGGGAACTTGAGATGATGGATGTTCTAAGGATTATGGTGACTGTTACACAAAAATATCATTTTAGTCAAACTTATTGATGTATAAATTTTAAGTGGGTGAATTTTATGTTATGTAAATTACTCCAAAATGGTGTGTGTTAAAAATGAAATATACCCTAATAACCAAGATATTTAGAGTAAGACATATGTATGTATAATATCATATCATTTATAGTAAACATACTACGTATATTCATGCATGTGCTAGTTAAGACCCCAATATTTCTGGGAGTATATATTCAAAAAACATGTTTGCCTCTGAAAAAAGGACTGAAAGTCTGGGACAGGAAAGAGAATTATTTTTCCATTGCATACCTTCTGACACTGTTTAAAAAAATTAAACCATGTATAGTATTGCTTTAAAAATTAAAAATCCTAGTAAATAATTAAAACAAACAAGAACCACAATTCTGATAGAAGGACCCAGGCCTATGACTCTGCTCTTGAAGGTCTGGACGTATCTGAATGAGGCTATGAGCAATTTTGAGTAGCCTATAATAAGAGAAAGCAAAAGATGAATCCAAAATTTATATGAAAATGGAAAGAATCTATAAAAGCCAAAACAATTACGAAAAATTTCATCACAAAAACATGGTATTAGTTCCTTATAATTTCAGAGAGATGAGTGCAAATTGTGGGAATCTGGGGAAACACAAGAGGTTTTTGACTAGAAGTACTTTATTACAGGGTACTACATTCTGCAGGTCTACACTAGCCACAAAATAAAAACCAATTCCTTACCCCCAAACACAAGCAAAATGCAAACAAAATGTAACATCCTGGAGGATTAAAGGAGAGGTGGGAAAAATAGAGAGGGGAAAAAAAAGAGCAAGAATAGGGTGGTCTAGCTGATAGCGGGCGTTTATATATACATCAGTGATTTCAAAATACTTTTTCCTGCTATGCCATGCCTTTTATTTTTAAAAATTTTTTAAAGATTTTATTTATTTATTTGAGAGAGAGAGCATGAGCAGAGGGGAGAGGGAGAAGCAGGCTCCCCGATGAGCAGGGAGCCCGACACGGGGCTCGATCCCAAGACCCTGGGATCACGACCTGAGCCGAAGGCAGACGCCCAACCACTTAGCCACCCAGGCGCCCCATATGCCATGCCTTTTTTAAAAAAGTCATTATATAGGATGTGTATACAAACTCGTTTCTATGAATCAGAGAGTGGCTATACTGCACAGTAATTTTCAGTATACCTTTTAATATCAAGAACCTGTTACAAAGATTTGCTTTTCAATTGCATGCTATGAAGATATGGCTTTAATTAAGAGTATTTGTTTTAATCTTACACAAGCAATGGGAGAAATTAAAACACACTGTCAATATTTAATTGTAAAGATTCAAGTGCTATTTTGTAACAACGCCTTAAGAAGGTCAAATTTAAGACTTCTGCTATCATAATTTCCCTTTTTAATATAGGAACATAATACTTTGTACAGTGTTGCTCAAAAAATGCCTAGTATTTGGTGTCCATTTTCACACAAGGAATCAATAATGTAAATACTTCCTTGAAGTGGAAACACCTGCAGTGAGTGCCAAATAAATCATAAAAGGTGCTTCTTTCAAGCTTTGACTGCCTTCCTTTGCATTTCAAACCAACAGGGCTCTCCTGCTGTTTTTAGTGCTCTGAATAGACAATCACATATGTTGGCCACACTGTGTTCTTCACGCATGAGTTCCTTGAAGAGCTGCTCCTTCTGCCCCACCCTTGCTGTAGCTTCAGCGTTCCTTTACTCTCAACACACATTTCATGAACACCGATGGTGGGCCATTCGATATGAAGAACCATGACCACCACGTTAGGGAGTATTATCATCCCAATATAACAGCCGAGGCTTCTGAGGCTCCTGGACTTTAAGTGTCCCAAGTCCCAGAACCGGTAAGCAGAAAACCAGGACTTAGCCTGAGCCTTTTCCTTTATACTCTGTTTTCAAGTATCCTTCCAATCTGTGGCCCTTCCCTCCTTTCTCTCCCTAGTGTCACTGATAGTTAAGAGCAAAGTAGCAGAGGAATGAAGGAGGGGCCTTCCTCTTAGCCCCATTCCCTTCCCCAGAAGGTAGAAGGGAGGAAACCCCCAGGGCTCAGAGTTCCTACCACCCTCCTCACTGCTCCGATTTCCATAGTTCACCTAGAACACCCAGCTTAGAACTTCAGCCCTAACCCTGTTCCGTAACTTCCTGCCCAGGTCATGGAAGGCACCATGAGTAATTATTGCTGGAGGAGTACCTTTGTAGTGGAAGAAGTTTCCTAAGCATCCCAATTCATGACTCGAAAAAGATTTTTCTGTGACAACCAGTTCCCAAATGTCCTGATGGGGATTATGAAGACTATATTTGAACTTGGACTGGGTTGAACCAGCTTCCACCTGCTAGCTAGAATCCTAAGCACAGTGCAGAGCATTGACTTGATTGGAAGAACCAGATTTCTTAATTAAGTCAATGGGAAACCAGTTTGAGATCTCTACAACTGATAATATTAAGAACTTTTGGAATATAGGGGCGCCTGGGTGGCTCAGTTGGTTAAGCGACTGCCTTCGGCTCAGGTCATGATCCTGGAGTCCCGGGATCGAGTCCCGCATTGGGCTCCCTGCTCGGCAGGGAGTCTGCTTCTCCCTCTGACCCTCCCCCTCTCATGCTCTCTCTCTCTCTCTCTCATTCTCTCTCAAATAAATAAATAAAATCTTTAAAAAAAAAAAAAGAACTTTTGGAATATAAACCACTCATATTTGGGGATTCAGGCTTTACCCTCCAAGTTCATACTAAGATACATTTGTGAGACAGAAAGCACTACTTTTATTGTGTTTAATATAAAATTGGAAGAAAATATATATTCTCAAAATTAAAAAAACAACCCATCGCTTCCTGGACTCTTGTTTTTCTCTCCTAGTCTTTGACTTTTATTTTTCAACTCTTGTTTTTCTCTCCTATTCTTTGACTTCTATTTTTTGAAGTATGATTTCATTCAACTCGAGGAAAACTTCCATTTTTATGATAGTATTGTAAAGGTCCTATTATTTTACCTGCATATTTTATTACTGAGTAGTGTTTATCTTACCTCCTCGATGGATAATCAAAGAAGTCTCACTTCCAATGGGACAGTCCTTAAGTATATCCACTACTTCTGTATGGCTCAGGTTCTGTACATTCTGCTGGTTGATCTCAACAATGAGGTCGCCTTCGCACAGGCCAGGGCATCCCTGAATGTCAAGTATTTGTTTCACCCGCTGTCCTGTAGGACTGTCAGCAATAGTGAAGCCAAAGCCCTGGGCACCTTTCACAATGGTTAAGGTCATAAGTTCAGCTTGGGTGGCCCCAGATGAAGCCATAGACACATTGTCGTCATGGACGGGTGGTGGATACGTGCCATCTAGTTGACCATCAGCTGGCATTGAGTGCAAAGAATGAGGCGGCCGATCTGTTATATCTGGAACTGACTGTGAGGTCCGAGAAATGTATTCCAAATATGTTTCATAGTTATGTCTTCCATTGACCATCACTGGAGGTGGCCTCTCCATTATTGCAAGGGGTGGCACCATGCTGTTAGCAGGATCTTCAGGATCAAAGGGCAAAGGGTAGCCACGACACAACACCAGGTTGACGCTCTGACCAATAGGAACAGACTGGAAAAGTTTGACTACATCTGCATGAGTATGTCCAAGGACACAAACTTCATTAATATAGACAATGACATCACCTGCAAGGAAAAAGGAAAGAGATTGACAACATGAGGTAAGTTCAATTAAAGTTGACATAGAGAAATGGAATTATTTATGAGACTAGTAAAAGAGGCACTCTGTTTCTCAGTAAGCTGTGAGAAAACCAATTAGAAGAATATTTAAATTCACTGTAGGTGACTCAAGGTTACCAACAGGTCTGCCAACAAATACAATGATCAAATGATGAAAAAAAATGCTATGTGTTTATTCTTGGAGTTCAGAAACAGCTTTGTGTTCAGAAAGAAAAGTTTAGAAGCATTTGTACATTGAGGAAGCACACATTCTATGCTTCTTTTTCATCTTCATTTCCATCTTCAGTGCAATTCAGTTAATAGAATTTCAAACTATTGAGAAGTAGTGGTCATAAGTTTTAGATGAAAAAGAAAGCCCCGGTATATGGGTTTTTTTGGTATAATAACTTGACTGAGTCAACTGCTACTTTTCTTTTTTATGGAAGAGGAAAGATTTTGCCCATTTATTTTCTCCATCTATAGCAAGATGTAATTACAAAGGTTCTGTGTATACACAAGCAAAGGTCAAGAGCACTGGTTCTGGGATCAGGGATCTGGGTCCGGATCTTGACTCTACTCCTTAGCAGATACATGATATTGGGCTAGTGACGTACCTGCTTTGAGGCACAGTTCCTCATTTGTAAAGTTGTTGTGAGGATTAAATAAGATAATGCGGGAAAAGTGTTTGGCATTGTGCCTGACACATGGTGAGTGCCCAATAAATGTGGACCACTATTAATATTACTATTGCTAAAATAAGTTGGAGGGGATTTGGGACCTTGGCTTTCAATAGAAGGCTGCCATAGACTCATCCTCTGATCTTAGATTAATTAATATTTCTGTAGATCTTTTTAAAAAAGTCATTTGTCTTCTCTCCCCAATGAATTATCATAGAGTTACAGATGTCCACTGGTTAGATGTTAACTTTATGATATTAAAAATGCCCTGAATGTTAATTATTCATTATAAAATAAAAATTCTGAAAAACAATATTTCCTCCTTAAGATACAGAAAAAACACGCTTGTTTGAGATAATTGTACCAAAATTTCAATAATGTATGAATAACAATTTTAGTTTTAGAGAACTGCCCTATTATGGGTTGATCTTTTTATTCTCACAAACCATAATATTTGAGAATTATGCTTGTAAATTGAGATTGTGCCTGACTATGCTGAGGAATACATGAGGGATAAAAAGACATGTTTTCACAGACTGTCAAATGAGTAACTCAGCAGGTATTAATTTATCAGGATAATTCTGAAATGGGTAGTGTAAATGGCTAGGGATTTCATACTGAGACATCCTTGCCCATCAAAATTGCAAACATCAAAAATGTAAAAACAGAGTTGAACTTTCAGAGTTAAATACTTCTCTAGCTTTTCTTAGGTGTCTGATATAAAATGGTTACTCCACTTTATGCATTCTAAAATAAATAATTCTATGAATAAAACATTCCTGAGTAAAATACTCTCAACAACATAGACTCAGTTAACACTTGCTCTTCCCAAATGCTAGAGACCTGCTTGAAAGTGCTAAAGATATAAAGAGAAAAGTCAAACAAACATTTTCTGGGATTCAGCTTAAGTGTGATTCTAGAAAATGTCACAGACTCCGTGATTGGGTAGATGGAACTTCACACTTCAATTATGTGTATCAGAAAGGTGTTGGTGTAATGGTGGGGATTTTGGAGCAGGACTTAGGGCTGAGTTGGGATGAGCATCCTTTCTCTGCTACTATGATTCGCCATTGGACCAGGGCAAATGGGGACTGTTTGGCATCATTTTCAACTGGTCTGGTCATCCCAGAGTCCCAGAGAAGTATCTGATCCAGAACAAACTCTTTTCTTCTCTTCCTGCCTCTTCTATTTTTAAAGTTAGGATCATCTATTTTACACATTACAAGGTTGAGAGAAGAATAAATACTGTGTATGACCATCCAACTCAATGATGAGAACATTGAACATATTAGTTGTGGTCCTCCAGGTGGCACCGCCCTCCCACTTACTGCCCTCTCTGAACGTAATCACTGTCCTGCTTTATTCACATGCACTTTATGCTTTTATGACATATCCAGGTACCTGTAAATAATGTTCCTAAGTAAAATTTAATCCCTAAATAATAATATCCCCCAAAATACGGTTTTGCACATTTTAAAATCATTGTAAATGGTATACCTATTAATCTTCTGTAATTTCCTTCCAAATGTATTTGTGATATTTATCTATTTGATACTTTTACCTCTAGTTCACTAATTTTCCTTGCAATAGAGTATCTGTTGGATGGCTACATCACTACTTTATTAATATTTGTCCATTCTTGTGTTATTGGATGTTTGGGTTCTTGTGAATTTTTGGCTACTAGAGATAATTCTGCTAATAATCTCTTTCCATGGCCCTTGTGCACTTATGGTGGAGTTTTTCTGAGGTATGGACCTTGGCATTGAATTGCTGGGCCGAGACCACCTGCTTCTTCAACTTTGTTATGTCATGGCAAATGACTGACAAAATAGGTCAAACTGATTTACACCCCTATTTCTGGTATATCAGAATTTTCATTGCTCCCTATCTTATATAATACTTGGCATTCTCAGACTTAATTTTCATCGATCTAATGGGTGTGATCATGGTTTTAATTTGCATTTCCAAGATTGCTAGTGAGGGTGAGCATCTTTTCATATGTTTATTGGCCATTTGGGTTTCCTCTTTAGTACATCTCATTTCCTCATTTTTTCCTATTTGGTTAGTCCTTTACATTTTTTTTTAACACATTGACTACTTTTCTGCCCACCTCCATTCTTTTGATCCAACATTTTTGGTAGGTTTGGGAGGCTGCACGGTATAGCTGACATTACATGGGACAGGGTGTCAGAAGACTTTGGTCCAGTTTCCAGCTTCATCACTTTCTAGCTGTGTGACTTTCAAAACTAACTTAAATCCTTTGTGACTCACATTTTTCACAAGTAATGAGGAATAATAATAATAGCAACTTATTGTTCTATGGGAAATAACAAATGAGATCATGCAGGTGACAGGGTTTGTAAGCTGCAAATTGTTATGCAAAGGATGACTGCTATTTCAGTAATTATTATCTGTCCTTGGTTATATCCTTCTATAAAAATCAGGACAGTCCCACCAAGATATTCCCACCCCAGTCATAATCTAGGCTGAGGATGGGTTTCTGAGTGGGCAGATAAAAGACAGGAAGGTAACAAATGTCACTTTCCTCTAAGGCTTTCCCTAATTTTAAACACTGTTAACAAACTCCCCACCCCCCAAGCATGCTATGCCAGAAATTCATAGGAAAAAAGAACTAAGCTCTCCAGGTTCCCTGCCAGGTCTAGAGAGTGGTTATTTGAATTATAGTGATTAATGTTATCTATTTTTGAGTTTTAATGTGATCTTGCTATTTAGAAACAGAATGAGAACTATTTGTGGTTTAAAAGCAGTGTAAGACTGCTTTTAAAATTTATGGATATTTTCCACTCAGAGCAATTTTTCAAGTCAAGCAAGCAGTGATAAAGTGATATCTTTAGAGAGCTGTGCAGAAGCTTTCTGAATGTAAAAGATGAGTGGTCAGTTATCACAGGATAAAACTAACAACTTGACAGTACTCAACTGCTGACTTAAAAAAATGTGTATAGATGCCTAGACATTGTGTCATACCACAATTGTTGTAGATGGATTTGTAAGCAAACATTTGCCTGTTCAGATAGAACTAATTGGGTGGGATATTTATAGACTGTGCTGTATGGATGTCATTGACATGTTGTGAAATAAAAATATGAGCCACCTGGTACATGCCATCTGATGGTGCCATGCCAAGTCCTGGGATAGACTGGGCTTCAGAGCACAGAAAGAGACGTCATTAGGAGAACTGGCTCTAGCTCAAGCCCCGTTGGCCTATTTAAGAGGGAGAATTGGGAGAAGAGTCACTTGATCTCTCCCTCTCTCAATTTATTCTTTTATAAAATGGGAATTAAAACATCTCCTCCATTTCCTCTTTCACACGGCTACTGTGAGAATGAGATCATGCTTGTGAAAACACTTTTAATTTTACCAAGGAAAGGTTTTCCATAAAAATAAAATGATGCATCTTGTTTGGAAGCCAAGCACCCATTTTCATTGCCGTCTTGCCTGCAAGTTTACACTGTTTCCTATGTGGCCGTTCACTTCAGGCCCTATTGGGGCCAGCTGCGTTAGGGCTATTGACCTTGGGCCTATGGGTCAAATTTGGAGTGACTGATGAGCTTCGGGTCTCCAATAGAGCTGGTCTCATAAAGACCCGATTCCCAATGAAGAGATTTCAAAGTGCAAGTGAAGGAGAGTCAGGCTGATGAAGCAGAAGTTTAAAACTGCTGGCCTGTATGAAAACATGTTCCAAGCTAACTGGTCCCTCTCTTAGTCATTGGAATCAAAATACACTACTGGATACCTCTTGGGTACTTCATTATTTTGGATAAAACAGGGCACTTTTCGTAAGGCACTGCTTAAAGTGCAGTTATTTTTATACTTCTTTCTTCTGCTCCCACATTCGTTGAGTCACTGTGGTGTGCAAAACTTCCTTTTTAGCCTCTTTCACTTACCACCTGCTGTCTACCTTCCTTAACCACCATCTTGGACTAGACTAGAATAACTTACTTCACATTCCATTCTCATCCTGTAGTCTCCTCCATTAAGTTCACACTACTCAATTTTAGACGTACTGGTTAATGCTCTTTACCAGCAGACTTTCCAACTTATTTTTGTCTTCACCATCCAATAAGTTCCCATTCTTGTGATGCTGGTGTCTTAACTGCTCACGATTTACAACTTGCTCCTTGCCTTTTTACTTGAGTTCTGCTATTCCTCTCTTCTCATGGGCACTTCCTTTCTGTGTGTAATTCCATCCCAACTGATTCATCCTTTCCTTCACTTTTTCAAAGATATCTTCCATTATTCCTGCTCCGATTGCTACTGCCTCATCATATT